TCTTGCTACAGTTTGAGTCCTTTGCTTCTTGTTTTATCCTCAGAGATTAAGGAGAACAATTTTTCTCCCTCCTCTTTGTAATAACCTTTTATGTACTTGAAAACTGTTATGTCCCCTCTCAGTCTTCTCTTTCCCAGATTAAACAAACTCAATTTTTTTCAATCTTCCCTCATAGGATGTTTTCTAGATCTTTAATTACTTATTCAGTCGATCCCTATCATGGCATCACCCTTGTTTTTTACCCCTTTTATCCTTACCCAGAGACTTTCAACAAGTCCTCCTCCTATTTCCATCTCAACCTCAGTGCAAGTGTACACATCTTTGTATACAGACATCTAAGATACTGATTTGATATCTCCTCTATGTTCCCTCTTTTGTCCCTGATATAATTGCCCATGGTCTCCCCAGATTTTGACCCTTCTCCCAGGTCTCCATGTTTTTGAATTAACTGTGGGCTTTTGTCTCCTGCCCCCATAGAACCTAGTTTAAAGCCCATCTTGCTAGGTTAGCCAACCTTTATCCAAAGCTATCTTCCCCTTCCTCAATAGATGGATGCCATCTCTGCCAGCAGTCCTCCTTCCCAGAACAGTCCTCCTTCCCCTGTGGTCAAGGAAGCTGGGTATTGCCTCCTGGCAATACCATCGGCAAATTCATGCATTCCCCTCCAAGATGCATTTTTCTCTGCCTGGGCTCCTACCCTTGACCAGAAGGCTCAAAGAGACCACCACCTGCTCCATCACCCTTACTCCCAGAACCCTGTAGTCACTTCTAATCTGCTGAGGGTCATACCTTGCAGTATCATTAATGCCCACATGGATGAGTAGCATGGGGTAGTAGTGAGAAGCCTGGATGATCCTTGACACTCCTTCTATAATGTCTTGATACAGGCTCCTGGCAGGCAACACTCCATTCAAGATGCTAATCAGGATGACAGATGGCTGCCTCCGTCCTCCTGAGAGGGAGTCACTGACCACCACTACCCTACATTTCCTCTTGGGAGTGGTGACCACGATTCTCCCAGCCTTTGAAGTACAGAGCTTCTCCTTCTCCATCTTTGGGGGCAATTCCTCATCCCTTGTTTCCAGGGCAGCATAATTGTTCTTCATCAATATGGTGGGTGGGTTGGGAGCAGGGAGGGAGCATTGCCTGCTGCCTGCTACCAGAAATAACCAGCAGCCAGGGTCCTCCCTGTGACCGAGCTGTATCCTCCTCCCCCGGTGGTGTGGCAGCAGTCCTCTCTAGCTGGAGAGCTTCCTCAGCCTTGGAGATCGCCATATGAATACCCATATTCTATGGCAAGCCAATGTAGTAAATGGGGCACCATTGTGTTATGCTTTTGGTAGCTGGTGTGATTCAGGAGATGGGCTGCTGTATTGTGAATCATTTGGAGCTCCCACATTTTAAGGTCAGTGCAGTAATTCCTAATACAATGAGCTGCAGTAATCCAGCCTGGACATTATGAAGACCAGATCTTGGTCTGATAGTATTCTCTGCTCTTGCCAAGAGCAGCTGAAGGAAGGTATATTTGGCAGCTGCACCGATTTCTCTTTTCCCTCATAGCTTCCAGTCTGTCTTGCTCGAGCTTTGCTTCACCCATTTACCTTCCATCCACCTGCTTATCTTGGCCAGGCAACAGTGCTACCAGAGACTGAAATGAGCAAGATGTAGAGCTACACATTATTTACATTTGAGAATGTGATTGCTTCAATTTGATGATGATCAGAAGAGATTCAGGAGAGATTCCACAGGTGAATGGTGTGGTACCAACAGGGATGTTAGCCTCTGAAAGAGAGGCGGTGGGTATGTCTACACTGAAGCTGGGAGCATGCTTCCGAACACGGGTAGACAGACGGGTGCTAGCTCCACTTGAGCTAGTGGGCTAAAACCAGCAGTGTAGCAGGGGTGGCAGCTCAAGCTAGCTGCTGAAGTACAAACCCACCAGGACCCCCTGCAGTATGTACTCAGGTGGCTAGCCTGAGCCGCTGCCCTTGCTACCCCTCACTACACTGCTATTTGTAGTGCACTAGCTCGAGCAGAGCTATCACGTGTCTGCCTAGGCCCCCTGGGAAGTAGACTCCCAGCTGCAGTGTAGGCATACCCTACGTGCAGTGTGAAAGGACCTCAGCCAACTGACTGCTTTCCACTAGCTCCTGCTAGGTATTCGAGGTGGGATAACCACAGAAATATCTAGTAATATGCAAGTAGATATCCTCCCTGTCGGGGTGCAATATGACGTCATCCATCAGCACAAATGCTGCCATTTCGGTCCATCTTCTAACCTCAAGCCTGACTGGCAGAGGTACAGAATCTTGGCAACAGACAAGGTGCAGCTGAAAATGGTTCTTTGCTAGTGTTGTACATAATTTGATGAAGATAGAGGGTTGCGTACAGGCAGTAGGTTGATAGGCCCAGGGATAGATTCCTTAGTACTGACCAAACTTACTGCATACTTTGGGAGCGAGTGATCTTCCAAAGTGGTATTTATGCATCTCTGTGTAGGTAGATTCCCAGATGTTTTTCTCAGATATGAAGGGCATAGGTCTGAGCTAAGCTTTCTTGTAGTATTTCAAGAGTCTCTTGTTGTGAGCATGAGACAAAGACTGGAAAAGGAGAGGGATGTTTCTAATCCTGGGCTCAATATAAATTCCTTTTGCCTGGAGAGCATACCCTGAATCCAGGTGATCCTTCTTGTCAAATAGGGTGACCATTCTTCATGACATGCAATGCCGCCTTCTTCCAGGGTAGTGTGAAGTTAATCAGAATGGATACAGCAGTTCATTATCCTGAAGAGTTCAGAGAGCCATGACTTAATGGCTGCTAAAGTGCTCTAATCACTGCTCGGGAACAGGACTAGGAATTTTTAGGCTTCAAGTCTACCTGCTTCTTCCACAGATTTTCACCATTAAGCATTTAATTTCCTTCCCTTCTACTCCATGCACCATAGGTCATCTCAGAAATAAAATGGATTGTGAATATTTCCCTTTTGGAAGGATAGAACAATTCCTGTTTTATTCTAGATGGTTCCTCCCCCTGTTGTCATGTCCTTTTCCACAGTGCTACTGCACTCTGGCTTCTAACATCACTACAGTCCACTATAAACTGATCCCCTATGATACACATTTCATTATGCTATTAAATATCCATGGCCCCTTGCAAATAGCCAAGTAAAGGATGTACCAGTTGATGTGCTGCAAGAGGCTCACATGAACCCTCATTCTTCAAATGTGCCATCCAAACTGAAGAGAAGATTATGGTAGGTCTCCTTCCTCTCTGCCAAAGATCACCTATCTATAGAACTCAAAAATACTTCTGAAGAGCAATTTTTCCCCTTCTCTGCAAGTTCAACACCCTCCCCCCCCCCAGCTCCCCGCCTTGACTGTACTAACAAATTTTGTGTACATCCATTGTTAAATTATTGGCTACACACTACAGGAATGTACACTGGTATATTTAATTCATTATCCCACAGAACAGCTGAGTTTTCAGAGATACACCCGGAGAACTAGCCTTCATAATTTTAAAACTGCATTTTAAAAAACTGCTGCATGGACCAAACCCTGCTCACCTTACTCACAATTACCTTGAGGGACTGTTCACTGGACAAAGGCAAGCAGGATTTGGTGCTATATAGTGAACATCATTGTAATTCTAACAGAACCTCTTTAAATTGCACTAAAGATATTTCCTTCTCTGATTCTGTTCATTTCGTCTTGATTCAGAGAGTGTCCTCTACTTGGCAACAGGGGAATGCAGCACTACACACACACACTGATCTGGCAACCCACACTATATGCCCCATGCTGGGGGAATGCTTCATCAGATTTTGTACCAGGGGGAAGGATCAGCAAGAATTTTTTTGTTTGTGCTGTGTCGTAGTGTGCTTGATCAAGGTTTTACTGTAAAGGCAAATAATAAAAAAAAATAGTTGTCTATATCCAACCCTCAGAACCTTGCCATTAACCAGAAACCCAACCAAATTAAACTAGTACAGAGGTGATCTTTGGAACACAGAGGGCTGCACTGGCAAGTTAATCAGACCCCAAGATTACACCTAATTTTGCTCATATGTTTTCAATATTTTAAATTTAAAAAGTCAAAGATAAATGTGTGCAACTCTAATATTTGCAGCTACTTTTTATGCACTACAATAGATGACTATAAATTGCTTTTCTGTTTGCATTTACTGTAATAAATGCTTGAGCAGCTTTGTCCTTATACTGCCATTACAAGGAAGGGGCCTCCATGGTCTGTGCTTCAGGACTCAGCAGGCTTCATTTGACTTCAGGCCACAGTTTGATCACCCCTAACTTTGGTGAATATAGGTGTGTGTGCGTGTGCACGTGTAAACACATGCACTAAAATATTGCTTCTAATGGCACTTAGCACATGCTTAAGTGCTTTGCTGGTTACTGATGGACTTAAGCACATTCTTAAATGTCGTATTGAATTGGACCCAGGTTTAGATTGCCTTCATCTTTTGGAGTTTTTTGGGTAGCTAATGGGAAAGTCATAAATTCAGTGACTGACTCGGAACTGCATGTGCGCAGCAGCTACCAAACTGTTCATATTGACCAACTGCATTAACAGATCACTACATCCGAGGAGGTTTTTTTGTTTTAAAAAGAGGTATCCAAAGTACTAAAAGTTTATGCTATTTCACTGCACACTCTATTCCACTAGAGGTCAGCCTGCAACAAAACCCCAAGCAAACATGGGAGCTGCTGCACACTGCCAGCATTGACATTATTTTCTTTCTCTATTTTATCTATTAAAAAAGATTCCTTCAGAGCCATAACTTAGATCTCACTCTAAAATGGAGCAACAGGAAGATATAATGGTGCATTTCATTTATGAATGACCTATAATAAATTACTGTGAAGTATTCCAGGTGCCAAGAGAGAGGCTGCTTTGTCTGCACATGAACTATATTTCACATACTTTAATTTGGCTGACACATAAAACTCATTTGACATTTTGCAGGTATTTCTTTGAAAGGATATTTGGTTCTTGTTGAGCGTTAAGGTATGGAGGTGAGGTAACCTGGGTAACCGAAGGTCATTTCCGAGGAGATTGTTGTCCAAGATCAACTCTTCCAGGCAACTGAATGTTTTTAGTCCTTCTAGTGACCTGCAAACGACAAAGACAACAGGAAAAATGATACTCCATTAAATCAGAGAAGCCATTATGAGCTGAAATAAATATTTTAACCTTCCCTTTCAAGAGAGGGAACAGTTTTGGTTTGGCCCTGTCAGGAGAGTGAATGACAAGAATTAGTGGCAAGGGGAATGCTGGCACGGCAACACATCCTTCACATGCTGGCAGGATGAAGGATGGGGGTCACTTAGTGAGTAGCCAGGATCCAAAACAAAAGGCTTCAGATATGGGGCCTGCAGGATGAATTTGTCAATGTCTTGTGCCTTCAGGCACCCAGCCTCGCCTGACCCTAACCTCCATTCCCAAGATAAATAACTCTGTCACAGTTCACCTTCATTCCCTGGACACAAATTTAAGTTGTCATCCATCATTTCTGCCAAGAAATATCATACCCCAATAACAATAATAAATACAACTTCAAGTATCATTTCTTAGCAGTTACCCTACATGCAATTATAGGAAAAGCTGAGGGGATTTTTCTTCTTTTTTATTAACTGCTTAATTTGCTACTGCTTGCGTCTCTGCGACCAACATAAAATGCTTCATATCTGCAGAGTTGCTCCAGACACAGAAGCCATATGCTTTGATTTTAAAACCTACTGCCCCAACCCAGGGTTCAAACTGTAGAAAGTAATTTTAAAAAGAAGAACTTTACAGCATAAAAATGCAAATGCCAGGTATCTGTGGGAAACCATCACCCAGTTAGGAAAGTAGAGTAAGATATCGACGAGCTAGCTTCCCTGCTCTGCTAGGGCACTTATTCCAAAATTAACTCTTAATTTCATAGGCTTGCACATTCCTGAGGGGGGTGAGGGTAGGGGAGAAAAACCCACATTAATCAAGAGAGAAAGCAGGTTATATGGTGCAAATGAACAGCCTCACATTCACAGCTCATTCACCTACCAGACACCTAGAGAGATGCTGAGATTGCATGACTTGACAGCTGATCTACTATGCCGACCAGTGGGAAGATCATCACTGTATCTCCTGGCTGTTTTATAAAATGTGATGAATAAGGGAGATGCAGTCTACACTATTTATTCATTTTCTAATGACATTTATACCAGGGGGATTTCCTCCGTTCCACTCCCCACCTCTTTCTTTGTTTCTTTTCGTAAAGATCCATTTAAAAAAATAAGGTAAGCCTCTTATAGAGAGATATGGAACATGTCACTAATGGAGGAAAATGCAGCAGTTAATATGAAATGTGATTTTTTAATTGCATGGATTAATTTAATGTCCACCAAGTCAACAAAAACCCAGACGTTGTTTTTGCAGATCCATCACTGCCTCCCCCATTGCCATTATGAAGCATAGTTAGAGGGTGCAAATTGAAAATTCCTATGTGGGAAGTCAAACCTGCAACCTTCAAACTAAAGTTTAAGGGCACTGTCTACTCAGTTATAAATATTCAAAAGTAAAAATCAGCACTCAAGTACTTAAACAGCACCTTCAGTCTAAGGATCTCACAGCACTTCAAACACTTACACTGCATTATCTGAGGGAAGTATAGTTAAGTATCATTAACCCCATTGTACTTATGGGCAACTGAGGTACACAGAGGTTAAATGAATTTGCCCAAAGCAAGTCATTGGCCAGGTCTACACTACAACCGCTTGCTGGAATAGCTATGCCAGTCAGGGGTGTGATCTCTGGCCCACATAGCTGTGTCAGCAAAGGCCCCCAGTGTAGACGTACAGCTTATTTTATTTGTTTATGGTTTGGGGGTTTGTGGGGGAGGGAGCAGGGAGGCAGCTGGAATAAGCTATCCTGGCAAAAGCAGTTTTTCTATCAGAAGCTGCATGCACACTAGGAGCATTTTTTTGGTATAGTTAGGGTGACCAGATGTCCCGATTTTATAGGGACAATCCCGATATTTGGGGCTCTCTCTTATATAGGGGTCTATTACCCCCCAATCTCAGTCTCAATTTTTCATACTTGCTGTCTGGTCAGCCTAGGTATAGTGTACTGGTATAGCTATACCAGCAAAGCTCTCCGTACAAGCCCTCTGCCAGGATCAGGATTAGAACCCAGGTCTGCACCAATGCTTCTGCACAAGTACCGGTGAAAGAAAAGCAATCTAGAGGAAGTAGGAGCTAATTTATTATGCTGTTATGATTTTTAATTTGTTTATTTGACAAACCTAGTTTAGAAAATTCCTCTTAAACACTCTTTATTATGTAAATAGTTAACAGTGGAGTATATCCAACCCTCACTTTTTAATATAAGGCTTCTGCTTGCCAAAAGGAGTTCAAAATAGACCACTACCCTGTCAGCACCACAGAGCCTTATGGGACACTAATAGATCCTATGTGAATAAACATTGCTTGGGTTCTGGTCAGTGTCAGCATCAAAATACACATTGTTCCTGAGTTATGTTATGCAAATATAATGCCCTTATCATGAGAATCAGCAAATGGTTGGCAACTGGCAAGGAGAAGAAAGCATACATCCAAAACTGCTGCAGGGGAGGCATAAAACAAAATGACAAGCCATGAAGTGGGACAAAGGCCCTGAAACACTAGAGGGAGTTGCCTATTGAAACGGCCTTTCTTTCTAAATCTTAGGCTGAGTACAATGGTACTAGCTTCATAGATGAGTAGAGAAAATTGTGTGTAAATCCCCTTACACCTGTCTGGTTTTGATAATTTTTGCCATGTAATGTTATTAACTGCTCAGTTAAAAAGGAGCCGTGTTACACAGGGGGTTGCTTATTAATTGTTGTTTTTATGTCATCAGCATGGTGTGCACTTGGTGATTTAATCAGCTAAATTCAGAGCCTAGGGACAGGGCAGAGATTGCTACAGTGCAGAGAGGGTGTAGACAATTAACATAAATTTACATCCATGTTATTTTGCTATTCACAGAATTGTCAGCTTCCCCCCCTCCTACTCCCACTAAAGAATCAAAAAAGAAATTCATTTGAAAGTTGTTGAGGAAACAATGAAGAAATTTTGTTTGCTATCATGAGTGATATAAGTTATCAAATCTATATAAAAGTGCAAGTGTATCCTCATCATAATATATAAGGGGAATGTCATCTAGTAGTTATATCCTGGGACTGAAAAGCATAAGCTGTAAGTATGAGTCGATTTGCTACTTGAACTTCAGCAAGTCACATAACCTCTGGGTGCTGTGGTTTGTCATCTGTGGAGTGGGAATAAAACCTGCCTACCTGATACAGGTGTGAGGCCAAATAGACGTTTGGAAAATGTTTTGAGAGCCTCAGGTGACAGGTGCCATAAAAGTACAACATAAAATATTACCCTTTCAATGAAGTGCTTGAAGGAACACATTATTGTATTCAAAATATTTTATTATTAACATACCCAAAAGTGAAAGGGTGAAAGAGACAGCAAAAGCAGCAGTTATATCACTGTGAGAAGAATGGTAAACAAACAACAACAAAACCTAGACAGACAGAGAAAGCTGGAGGAATTTTCTGAGAAACAGCAACATCTTAAAATGAAATCTCGGATGCTTCCTCATAGTTCATAGCAGGGGAGCAACTCCCATCTTGGTCAATTAACAGACACAGCCTCACCACCACAATAGAACCAGGACATAAGGGGTAGTGGCAGCTAGCTCTTTTCCCTAGTTGGTTTAGAAAGATAATAAGCATCACTGAAGTGTATTGCAGGTTGCTTTTTCCCTGTTCTAATGACATGAAAGCTGCCCATTATCTCACCCACAGGTACCATCTCAGTTACCTCATTGCAGGGCTCACACTCCACTCCCAGAGGAGAGCAAGTGCTGCCAAGAGATTTCCATTGCAATTTCCAAAGTCACATCAAAATGACAAAACATCACAATGTATTCAGCTCTGCCTGATCTGTACAGAAAGAACTTTAAGTTTCCACTGTAATTAACCCTATCCTCGTTAAGATAATTATGATCAAGCTCCCTGTCACAGCTAATATCACAGCATCATTGCCTATGGCTCATGCTTTGCCCTCATTAGCTTACAAAAACAGTGCGCTAAACAGGCAACTGACTCCTTCTGCAAAATGACTTAAGATGTTCTGTAACCAGACAGTAAATAATCCTTTAGAATACAAAGGTCTCAGCAATGTCCTTTTATCCAAGTCCTTCAGCTAATCAGTCTGATTTCTCCCAGCTCACTTTTCCATAATTCATTCATGATTTCCAGCAAAGTTTTAATCATAAAGGAATGTCACTGTAGAGATTTTTCTGTGCATGGGCACAGTAATTGTCGACTATGCTATTTTATACAGTCCCTCTGGCTTGATGTGGAAATGGATTTGGTTACACTGAAACTAAATAGCAGCTCCTCTTATTGGTAATATTTGGCTGTGCATTCACAGGATTTTGAGAGAGAGAAAAGCAATGTTATCTCATCAAAGAATGGCCAAACCTCCATATTATGCAGTTGTCCTTGTCCTGAAATAACAGTATGCTCAGAAGTATATTTAAAAGAGAACATGCTGCCCTCTCTCTCTTAATAAGACAGCTGACTCATTCCTAATTACTTTTTTTTCTGGTTTAACAGGAAAAAGAGAGGGCAGTTAACCATATGTAAATAAGAGAGTTTGGCTTTCCCCTTAAAATTGATTTGGGCTCTGGTGACAACAGATAGCCATTACCAGAAGTTAAAAACAGAGCTGTTACGAGAGGAGAGCTTGTTTAAATCTCTCACTCCTTGCCTTTCTAAATTTCTTAGCAGATTAAAAAAAAAAAAGCAGCAGCACACACTGAGGCACTAATCATAACTTCAGTATTTAAATTAAAGAAAACAAGACTGATTTGCGCTTCTATAGCACCAACTGTCCAAGGATCTTAAGGCATTTTTACAAATGTTAATGTATTAAGCGTCACAAAACTGCTTTGAGCAAAGAATCGCCATTACACAGAGGGTAAAACTAAGGAAGAGTGCGCGATTAAGGGACTAGCCCCAGTTGACACCCAACAATTCTCTAGGAGAGAAGGGAACAGAACCCAGGTTTCCCAACTTC